CTCAGGCTGGTCTCGAACTCCTGAGCTCAAACAATCCGCCCGCCTCGGCCTCCCAGAGTGCTAGGATTATAGGCGTGAGCCACCGCACCCGGCCAATTTTTTATTTTTGAAATAATTTTATGATGAGTTAATGATTAACATAAATTGTGGTCACTGCTATGTAAAAAAGTGGAACGTGACTGAATTCTTTTTACCCTAAGCATGTCGTACTTCTATATTCAATAAAAACAATAAAGACTAAAAAAAAAAGTTAGAGAAAAACAGGTAACCAACCAATATTTAATAAACATTACAATAGCTGAGGTACTCAAGATAGTAGAATTAGTATAATCAGTTGTTTAAATTAGCTTAACCCTCTAAGAGAAAAGAAGGTATTCCCCACCCCTTTTCTTTACAAACATAAATACAATTTCTATTGATGATAGAGAAAACATAGAATACATAAAAAAAGCCAATCAATAGCTTAATCAAAATTAAAAGCAAGAACCAAACTCTTAAAGGACTCAAAGGGGAGAAATAATTAGGTGTCAACTCATACATGCCCACAGTAAGCAGAATGATTCAGATTAACAAATTTGTTATAAAAGATTATTAAGGACCTCTTTATGGTCACCTTTGTTACCTGGGTACTCTGATACATTCCTCTGATCCTAGCAGGCCAAGTTGTCCATCAGAATCAAGACCCCAAGCATACACCTGGCCCTTGTCATTTAGTGCTAATGTATGAGCTTCTCCACATGAAACAGCTACGATATTTTGGGCATCCAGAGCAACAACCTGCTCTACAGAAATCAAGAAGAGAGATGTTACATTCTAGTTTTGAACTTCCGATGAGAATAAAATACATTCGATCCTCATTTTACACAAAAATGTTAAGGAAATACTTAAACACACACTAAATATAACCAGTTATTTTGAAAAATCTAACAAATATGGTCCATACATAATTCTCACTGTGGTAAAGTACAGATAACTACATTATAGGGCATAATCAACTAAGAATATTAAGTGACCTGAACATTTGGGGGAAAAAGTTAAGGGTTCATAAAGATTCTCTTAGAATGTACTCTCCATTCAAAACCATTAGTAATAAAACAATACAAGTAAAAAAGGAATCACTTAAATAACCTGGGCTATTTGATTTTTAACAATAAAACCATAGTTGACACATATATTACCCTACAGATACTACCATGGAGTGATAATGAAATTAATGCAATAATCTGAATTGGCAACTTCTAAATGGAAAACAAATTCTTTACAGATCTCATAAATAAAATATCAACTGGACATATTAAGTAGAGAACCGAAAGGCAATATGACCATAATTGATAGGTATAGGTTCCACTTACAGACTGCCATTTTAATATCAAAAGATATGAAAACTCCCTATGTGATTAAAATGTACTCAAGTTTTAAGCCAGAAACTAACTTAAAATATTGGCCTTTCAAAAGACTGTCAGTAGCTAGCAACTGACAAATCAATAAGGAAAGTGAAACTGTTTCCCCAGTCCTTAACATGTTTGTCAGTTTTTTATTAGTATCATTACAAGTTTCTTTTTTAAGATGCCATTTAAAATTAACATTTTTAAACTTAATAAGAAAGTTATAATACTATCTTCAATAAACTAAAAGTCTTCTGTTGAAAGTGGTTAAAACTGGATCAATCCAGTTTCTTCACAGGCACATTTTGGCTCAATTCACAAACATGGCTGTTCGATAATAAAACAGACTACATCAAGGAGGTTGAAATTCCTATGCACAGAGAAATTCAAATTGTATCTGGATCACTATTTTGCATTTTGGAGTGGGAGGTTGGCCCTAGATAGCCTCTAGGAAACTATACAACTCTAACTTACCTTAAAGTACTATGACTTGATAACTGTTGAAGTTTCCAGTACAGGGAAGTTCATTATACTAATCCCTCACTTTTTGTCTATGTTTTTACAAAATTACATTGTAGAAACATACCAAAAAAGAGATATAACACAGTCTTCCCCAAAAAAATCAAGAAAAAAGACTTAGAAGTAAAACATCATTTGCTTACATAAAAACACTCCCATATATCATAATTATTAAGAAATAAAATGTTTACAAGATGTTATCTCTCGCAGAGGCTCCAGAAATAAGTCAATGTCTCTCCAAAACAACCCTCAAAGGAAATAGCAGAAAATGACAGGATGACAAGAGGGGTGAATAAGACTAGTTGGTTCACCAATAACAAATTTAAGAATAATTAAATCAGATAGCAATGACTGTAAAGTCAGAAGCAGCACAATCCAAGAAACGAAGAAGCAATCATTTATATAAAACATTAATATTACTGTACACTGTATACTGTGAGGTAAGCACTTGAGACAGAGATCAATAAAACAGAGTTCTAGCCCTCAAGGAATTTACTGTCTATGGAAAAATAAGGAGAGAAGGATTGTGGTTAAATGGTAAGATAAGGATACACAAAAGACACTAAGGGAACATGAGATACTTATTTAAGCCTTGAAAGATATTAGGAAGAATTTTGGAAGACAGCAACACTTTAGCTAAGTTCTAAACTGAGGAAAAGGGAAGAGATTCCAGGTATCCATGCTGCAGTCCACAACATTTTCGGCACCAGGGACAGGCTTCATTTTTCCACAGACAATTTTTTCAAGACAATTTTTCCACAGACCCGGGGTGGGGGTGGGAGGGTATTGTGGCAGGCAGTTGGTGGTATGGAGCTCAGGCAGTGAGGAGCCCATTTACTAACAACCCGGAGCAATTTGAGGGGCTTGGGGACCGCAGCTATTTGAGGAAACTCAAATTATTTGCATAGCAAAACAAACTAATTAATAATTAAAATCAAAGTCAAAAGACTGATGAGAAAAATGGAGGAAAAAATCTTACTCATATCTCAGACAAAGGAATAATCTCCCTAATTTTCAAAGCCTTCCTTGGGGGAAAAAAAAAAGGAACAGTAATTCACATGAAAAATAGGTAAAAGATGTGAACTAACAGTTTATAGAAAAATAAACAGAAACAGCCCTTAATCATATGAAAAGATGCTCAACTTCACTGATTAGAGAAAAGGAAATTCAAACTACATGGAGAAGCCAATAATATGTTCACTTAGAAAAGTCATGGAACTATACACTTTCAATTTTGCACTTTTCTATACGGGTTAACTTTCAATAAAAAGTTTATGTTTATCATGAGAAGAAAAGCCACAGACTGGGAGAAAATATTTGCAAAAAATACAACTGATTAAGGACCATTATTCAAAATATACAAAGAACATTTAAAACTCAACAATAAGAAAACAAACAATCCAATTAAAACACAGGCCAAAGATCAAAGCAGACCCCTCACCAAGGAACGGTAGGCAAGTAGGCATACAAACAGATGTTCAACATCGTATGTCATCTGGGAATTTCAAATTCAAAGATACCACTATACAACTACTAGAATGGCCACAATTTAAAACACTGACAACACCAAATGGTGGCAAGGATGTGAAGCAACAGAACTCTCATGCATTGCTGGTGGAAATGCAAAATGCTATAGCCATTTGGAAGACAGTTTGGTGGTTTCTTATAAAATTAAATATATTTTTACCATATGATCCAAGGATCACATCCCTTGGTATTTACCCATGAACTGAAAACATACGTCCACACAAAAACCCACATAAAGATGTTTATAGCAGCTTTATTCATAATTGCCAAAACTTGGAAGCATCCAAGATATCCTTCAATAGCTGAATGAATAAACAAACTGCGGCTCATCTAGACAATGGAATATTATTCAGCATTAAAAAGTAATCACCTATCAAGCCATGAAAACACATGTAAGAAACTTAAATACATATTACAAAGTGAAAAAAGCCAATCTGAAAAGGCTACATATTATAGGATTCCAACTACAAGACATTCTGGGAAAGGCAAAACTATTGAGACAATAAAATGATCAGTGGTTGCCAGGGCTGGGGAGAAGAAGGGACGAACAGGCAGAGCACAGAGGACTTCTAGGGCAGTAGAACTATTCTGTGTGACACTCCAATGGTCGGTATATGCCATTACACATTTGTTAAAATCCATGGAATGTGTAAGAATAAGAGCAAACCCTAATATAAACTATGGGATTTGGCTGATAATGATGTGTCAATGCAGGTTCACTGATTGTACCAATGTACCATTGCAGTGTAGGATTTCAAGCTGGGGAGATTGTGCATGTGTGGGGACAGGAGGTATAAGGGAACTCTGTACTTTTTGCTAAATTTTGCTATAAATCTAAAACTACTCTGAAAATAAAGTTTATTTAAAAATACACCACACACCAAAATACCATTTTTCACCTGATAAAAATCCAAAAATTTGATTCACAGTTGGTGAGGCTGTGGAGAAAAGGCACTCTTGTACATTGTTAGTCGAAATACAAAATAGAACAACCTCTATGAAGAGAAATGTGACATTATCTAACAAAACACATCTGCATCTACCCTTTAGAGCTAGCAATATCACTTCCAAGAATTTATTCTACAGATACACCTAAGAACGTGTGTGTGCAAGCGTGTGTATGCATCTGCAGCACTATATGTAACAGCAAAAGACTGGAAATTCTCCAGTATTCAATAAAGGATTCCATCTACAAATGGAATACTCTGCAATAAAAAAAAAAACATAGAAGAAACTCAATATATTGATATGGCAACATCTCCAGGGTATATTGTCAGGGGAGGGAAAAAAAATCAAGACATGGGATAGTGTACATGATTTGCTATTTTTCCGTGTAAGGAAGGAGGAATAAGAACATATATTCATATTTGCTTATATTGTATCTACATAAAAAAACTGGAAAAATACACAAAAAACTAACAAATATAGTTACATACAGGGGATGTGGGTAGAGGGGAAAATAGGGCGGTCAAATGTAAGAGCAAAATTTACCAATGTATATTTATATTGCTTTGCTTTTTGAATTGTGAATATATTGCCTGTTCAAAACAAAAAAAAATTTAATCTAAAAAAAAAGAAATAAAGCCTTAAAAAGTAATGAAAGCAATGTATTAAAACTACTTCAAAAGTGACCTGAGCTCTTTAATCTTTTTCTACATACTAAAAACTCAAGTAATTTTAGTTCTTTCAGAATTTAGCTCTATCAAATTATTGAGATATCAATTTTAAGAATGGATTACTTCAGAAGTACATTATTAAAGAAACATAACACAGTTATATGACTTGAGAATAGTATTTAATAGCTAAATTTTCAGGCAACAAATACACAAAACTGATAATGTCCCTATACACTTTTTTTTAATTACTTATTTTTTCCAAATAGCTCCTCAAAATGAATAGTCTCAACCATTTTTCCCCAGTATGCTAGAAAGTCAGATCAAAGGTTTATTGAAAAATTTTACATCCAGGTCAAATTCATGGTCCAAAAAGGGAGTCAATGACAAGAATGAGGGATGAATAAACAAACCCAGCAAAACAAACAAAAAAATTCACTTACAAAGCCTGGCCCAGTAGTGTCTTGTGTGGCAAGAGAAGCAAAATGGAATTCATGCCAAATCTAACAGCTCACATTTCCTGTTTACTATGTACAAGGTACTGTACTAACTCTATTAACTTTTAATTATCAAGCTACATTTATCTTTCAAGGCCAATAACAGTTAGGAAAGGGAAGGATAAGGGGGAGATTAAATTCATGTCAACATAGGATGAGTATGGAGACACAAGAAAGAGGACCAAAAACAAAGGAAAAACTGGCCAAGGAAGTCTATTTAAAAACTATTGACTCTCTTGAG